AGTACAATGTGTGAAGCCCATTTCTGGTGTCCCCCGTCGTGATATTGCTGGAATATTGCTAAAAGCAGCGTAAAAATACTCGCTCACTCATAGTCACGATGCGGCTGAATACTGCCTATGTGAGTTTAAGTTTGAACTCACTCACTCAGGTCCTGGTAGTAATCTGAAAACATGATTTCTGAACTGGATTCCTTTGTCCTGTATCCTGTCCCGCACTTACATATCTCTGCGCTGTTCATCGTCCTCTGTATGTATTGACCCGTGAAGATCCGGGTTAGAATATTGATATTCAGTAACCCATGCTTGTCGTATGAGACGACTAACGGGATCGGGTGATCAGGCTCGCTGACTTGTTTGACACATGTCATCGGTTCCCAGTTGCGCAGATCGATGCTCATGCTGTTGATCACTGAATTGTTTGGTCCAGACTCGATTATTTACAGACCGCCGCCATAAAGCTGGAATATTGCTGAGTGCGGCGTAAAGCTAAACTCACTCACTCATTCACTGTATGTATTGTCTACATAGTGCTAATAGTTTTAACCTAACATTCTAAGGCAATGCCAGAAATGCTTTGAAAATGCTTTTTGGCAATTATTTGATAATGGTTGATATTTTACCACCTCGACCTAATATTGCATATGAGTAATCACGATGTACCATTCCCTAATCATAATGATTACTCGTAAAATATCGAAAAACTTTGAGAAAACTCCATGGTAGACACTTCTAAGAAACAAAGTATACTATGACCCACCTGACAGACAGACAGGGTGACAGCGTTCATGTAACTCACGGGCAGTGCATGTCAGGGACCGTCTCAAAATATCAAGTGTCAGTGTCACTGCTGGTCGAGGACTCTAGCGGAATTACAACAGGTGCAACTCGGCTGAAGTTAACGCCGTCCCGCAGACGGTATTCGTCCTCGATTTGAGGACACGGTCTTCAGCCTTTTTCCACGCTTCTGGCGTAACTCTCGCAAAAGAAGCATACACAAGCTCTTTAACGCCTGAAAGCTGAAATGTGGTATTATTGCGAGCAATAACATTCTTACAGTTACCTTAAAGTTAAATTGTTGCCAACTCAAAGTGGGGAGGGGATCAAACTACCCTCCTCCACCTATATCGATCATTGGTCCGCTCGAAACTTGATTATGGCTCCATCGTGTATGGTGGAGCCTGCAACAGCAACCTAAAACTACTTGATTCTGTCCACCACCAAGTCCTAACACTTTGTCTTGGGTCTTTTAGAACCTCTCCTATTGATAGTCTCTATGTAGAGGCTGATGAGCCATCCCTTAACCACCGTCGTATCAAATTATCTTTACAGTATATAACAAAACTCTATTCTAACTAGTCTAATCCTGCATTTAACTGTGTTTTCAATCCTCCTTATGAGGATTTATACAACAAAAAGCCTTCTCCTGTTCCGCCTCTTGGGCTAAGAATTAAACCATTCATTTCTGCTGCCGGCATTGAGCGGGAAAATATATCTCCTTCCCGTCTTCTTTCTTCTCCTCCTTGGCAACTGGTGAGGCCTGAAGTTGACCTAACTCTGACAAAGTTTAAGAAATCTGAAACTAATGAATTAAAATATAAACAAGAACATAATCAATTAAAAAGTAAATATAATACATACAAGTCCTTATTTACATATGGGTCCGAGGATGGTGGCGCGGTGGCATGTGCCACTGTCATTGGATCCCGAACAATATCTTCTCAACTACCAAATAACAGCTCTATTTTCACAGCAGAAGCTAACGCCATACTAACAGCTCTTAAATATATTAATAAACACCGTAAATATAAACAAAATACAGAACTTTTTCCGATTCCCTTTCGTGTCTTCAGGCTATTAAGAATCTTTCTTGTAAACATCCACTTTTGTTAGAAATTATTGAATTGTATAATGAGCTTGCTACTGGCCATTGCGACATCGTCTTTTGTTGGTTTCCCAGCCACGTTGGCATTTCTGGGAATACAATGGCTGATCTTGCTGCCAAGGCAGCACTCAATAAATCTGTGACACCACTTCGTATTCCATACTCTGATTACAAAGCTACATTCGTGATCTGATGCAAAAGAAGTGGGACAGCCAAGTAGGTATTAACAAATTACATGAAATAAAACCCTATATCGGTTACACTTACTTGGGTTGTCAGTCCAGATTTGAAGAGGTCATCATACGACGATGTCGTATTGGCCACACAAGATATACTCATGCATACCTATTGAAAGGTGAGGATCCTCCGTTTTGTATCCCTTGTGATGAGAGAACCCCGGTCAAGCACGTCCTGCTTGACTGTGTTGAATTCTCCATCATAAGGTATAATATTTCAATACAGTAAAGGACCTTTTAAATAAAGTTAATTATCATTTAATCATTGATTTTTTAAAAGAGATAGATTTGTTAAATGAATTTGGATATATGTTTTGTGAATAGAGAAAGTTTTATAATTGGTAGTTCAGATTATCAACTTAGAATGTTTGTGGCTGTATCCTCAAAGGGGTTGAAGTAGCGTAAAATTATTGTCCTCCTGAGAGGGTGCGTAAGTCCCAAAAACTTTCAAAGTCAATTTTGCTCAACCATAATTTTTAATCGTAGTTTGTTATTTTAAATTTCGGCTAGATCTTCCTGCAATCGCCAGCGGCTGAAGGGATGGTGTAAATCCAGCTAAGGTCCATGTAGGTAGCAAAAACACTGGTGCCTTAGAACAATCTGAAGGAAGCCACATCCGATCGGTTGAGTGATTTTTATTACACCAGGCTTCATCAAGGTATGTAATTTGAAACCCCCAAAGTGCGGTATTCTTCAAATGATCTGAGATAAGCTGATCGCATGGACAGGATTGAGTAATTTTCTCTAAACACAGCTCTGTCATCTCCCCTTTTGGTGTACCTGAACCCCATTTCTACCAGAGCTACAATAAGTGTTGTTTTTTCGAGACATTTATTGTATCTTTGATCTCATCTTGTATTTCAGCACACGTCGGTGGAATGTTGCGTTCATACAAACTGTTTATAAACTGCACCTGGTTTTATGACACCCTTATCAAAGCTATCCAGTTTGCGTTTGTCATACCTGGTTTTGATTTTTCTCACGACCCTGAGGTAACTGAATTTGTTTACAACTTTGTAAACCTGACTATATGTCAAATTAAGGGCTTTACACATTCTATAGTAAACCCTGTCATAGCTGACGAGAGGTTTCCCCCTTTGTTTCTCCAGTATGAAATACTGGTATAAATTTGAAATTAATTGTTCTGCAGAGATATCAAGTCGCATGTTGCCAGTTCAGTGCTCATACACGAAGTGAAACTTCTATGGGTGAACAAGATTATCTATGCGATTTGAATTAAGACTTTTTTACGTAATTATTTTGAATATAACTACTACAAGAGTTCCATCTTTTTCACATATAGATGTTAAAAAAAACAAAACCTTTTACAATCATTTATGTAATTTAATTAGTTGAGGCTATATGAATAATTATAGTCTGTATTTCAAAACTACAGTTTGTACTTAGAATATTTACGAATGTTGTTAAAACGTCAATATTTCTTCCTGTGAAGACACCCCTCAAGTGCATTTTTTCATCTGAGCTTTAATATCCAACTAGGTATCCAACATGTATAGTATATGTGCTTTTATCTTGTGTCAAATTCATCATATTGATATTGAAGCCAAAAGCATTTTCCAAGCATTTCCGGCATTACAGGTTTCATTATATACACGTATTTCATTTCAACGTCAAATACGTTCTCGTCACGATATGGCTGAAACTTTGCCGATGTAACGTTAAAGATTAACTCACTCACTCACTGTCCTCTGGCCAAGTTTCACTGTTTGTTGTATTTAGGTTTATTGTATCAATGTTTCAATATACTTATCCATTGTGTCAGTAATATCTTATTCCTGATCACTTTAACAGCGTGTATAAACATAACACAACCTATGTTTATTTAATCACAATTCCTTCTCTATCTCCCTCATAAATTATATACACATAAATCTTAAATCTACCTGCATTATAATTATACTAATCAGACTCTTAACATCATCACAAAATTGAATGATAATATAAACAAACCTCGCATCTGAAATAACCCATGCCACAGTCGAAGACCCTCAAAGTAGTTAATACAAAGTGCCCAGTCGCTTTTGATGTGGAAAAAACATCATTCTTAATCAGAATCGATAGCATTTTCATAGCGTACCTATGCATACTCGACAAATACTATAATGATATATAAATACCAATTTCAGACTGTAAACGTTTTCTCTCTGTTGCACAAACAAAGATCTTAGTATTCTTGTTTTACCGATATCGCCATGACAATGCCATATATAGACTGTAGTTTGTAAAACGGTTCTTAGACATTTACAAAACAATCTAGTAAGGTTCCAACACAATGCTTCAATCACAGGCGATCTGTGGTTCCGTAGTTGTTTAAATGCAGTTGTTCAAATAAATGTCAATCATTCCGGTTATATGTATCTCAAAATGACGCAGACTTTCTGGCATCGTGGAAATAATTTTGTTTGAAGTAGCTCTTATCCTATTGTCGCCAAGTCATCTGCTTTCTCCAAGTCTCGAGGTATTCGTCATTCCAGACGTGATGATACACAAGCTGCTTGAAGAGAGTTTGGCATTCGTCATTTCAAGCACATGCTCAAACTAACTGCTAGGATTTGAGACTATATGATATAGTCATACCGTCATCATTTGCTGACGCAAGGAGTGTGGACACACCGAATCAAAAGCAAATTATTCTATCAAATTTAGATATGGAACTGAAATTGATGTATACGTTGGTAGTCGTAGGATCGTTATCATCGACGGCACAGGAATCGACAGTGACACTACCATCAACAGTTCCTGTGACCACAGATGTGTCCAGATCCATGATTACAAACACATCATCGCCAGTTGTGCCATCAACATCAGTATTGCGTGAAATAACAGATATGACAACTGACGGTACTTATAACGTGACCAACATGGATCTCAGAGACAGCATCGACCACAACAACACTATATACGAAAATAGTAATAAGACAGTGAAAGAGGAAGAAAAGAAATCCAAGTCAGCCTCCCCATTCGCATTGATCCATTCTGGCAGTGTGACAGAGGCTACTTTCAAAACCTTCCTCACTGTGACTGGATACATTCAGGTTCCTTTAACTATAATCGCTCTCGCCACCAACATCTGCAACGTTGTCGTTTTCTGTCAGAAACGGATGAAGAGCCCCACAAGTACTATCCTACTGGCCCTGTGTATTTCCGAGGTCCTCTTCCTCACTACTGACATCATCTCCAGCATCATGGACTTGATATACGGTGACAAGGCCTTGACAAAACGCATCTACCTGTACTACGGCCTCTACGTCTCCACCTACGCATCGGTGGCTCTCAGGAGAGTTGGATTTTGTTACACCTGCTTGATGTCCGCTGAGAGGTTTATTGCCGTGACGTTTCCCCTACATGCCAAAAGCATGCGTCTTGTGAACAACCCAGGTGTCGTCTGCGCACTGATAATGGTAGTTGGCCTTCTTGCACATATTTTCAGCCCCTTGAAATATATCGTCATATCTTACCAGGCGGCGAACAACACTAAAGCCTACAGGTTCGTGCATACCTCAATGTATGTCAAGGATAAAGTCCATTTTGAAAATGCAAGCATAGCTAGTAAATTTATATTCGTGTATTTCATGCTCTTAGGATGTCTCTTCTTCAATCTTTTGATTGTAATATCACTCCGTCGTCACAGCAAGGGGAGACAATCGATTAAGACCAGTCAGAACTCGGAACAAGCACAGAAGAGAGAGATGCAAACGACAATAACCATCATGGCGTCAACCGTTGTCTACGTCATCCTCGCCCTGCCTACCAACACCAACTCGATCGTCAATAACTTCAGCGATGACTATGGCATATTCACCAGAGAGCACTTCCTTTTCTTCCTCGTTGGCAGAGTTGGAAAAGTTTGTGAGTTGGTCAGTAACTTCACCAACTTTTTCTTCTACATTGTGCTCAGTGCAACCTTTCGGGAAACCTTCCTTCAAGTGTTAATCCCATGTGCATCTCCGGATAAGTCTACAAAGATCACTGTGGCAAGAAGTGGCAGCCCAGGTGCTAGAAATACATCTCACATCCCAATTGAATAATGGGCAGCGGAGAAGCTTAGTTCACACAACACGTATCATAGAGGAGCAGATACATGTACATTTATGTTCAGAACGTTGTTGTCAGCATAATTGTTCTTTAATTTGGTCTTGGCTAAAAACATAGTTGGCCTCTAAATCCTACTTGCTTTGAGCTTTCCATCTATTAGCATGAATACACAATGAATATGATGTGTCATCAACACCAGTCTGCAGGTATGTACAATCTCCATGTCAATACCAATACAGTTACTATATTTTCCTGTTTCCCGAGCTGGAATCGGCCCCATACTAACCTAAGAAGTCCTTAGAGGCGACTTGGCTTGGTGGCTTGTTTTGTAGAACGTGTTAGAATTTGCTAAATGTTAAGATCACAGTTGGTCTTGTGCGTTAATGCTTATCGTAAGATCGTTGGCTGCATTGATCGCACTAGACGCTTGTTTGCACATTGCCATAAACAAAGCATAGGCGTATCGTTCTATCGTAATAATATCAATTATACCTTGACTTAAGGTAAGACCTTCTTATCTTATGTTGCTCGGACCAGGGTTTATGTCAAAGATCACCTTACATGAATTAAATCACAACTATTCACAGCTCGTTCAGGAGGTTTGGAATTTAATGTTCATGTCCAGAAGGGCGGTGGGGTAGCCTAGTGGTTAAAGCTTTGGCTCATTACGCCGAAGACCCGGGTTGGGTACAATGTGTGAAGCCCATTTCTGGTGATATTACTGGAATATTGCTTAAGGCGGCATACAACCATACTCACTCATGTCCAGAAGATTCTTTGAAACCCTCAATCATGCTTATTCACTGTACTTAGACGCTAACCGTTAATGTTTTAGTGGTTTTCGTTAATTCACGTGTTGGGTTCATATCCCTATTTCATGTCCTGTGTCGTCTCTAGTTCCTACCAAAAATATGAAAGTGTCAGGATAAAGTTTGTTGTCTTTTTCGGTGTATTTTAAACTGAATGTATTAAGTGGGAATAATAAATGAATGATTGTGGTGTGTCCTTTCGTGTTAACATGATCTTTCAAATGTTTTGTAAGGATGCACAGGACATCCTTACGTTGGGGCGTAAAGATTTAAACAAAATGTCTGAATGCTGAATTAGATTTTTGCACATATCTTGGTGAAATTATATGTAATTTCTTCTTTCAAGCAGGTGATAATGCGTTTCTCAGCATCTGCATCAAGAAGACATTTTTGGACGCAATATTATTCAAAAGCGCCAACAACTGAAAAGAGCATCGTAATAGACCATGTACTGCAGTTGTACATCCACTTGTATCATTCGTAAAGGTTTGAAGTTGAACATAAAAAATATTTATCTTTTCAGGATAAAATGAGAAAGCAAACATCTTGAGCATTTCAGAATTTGAAAAATGTTCGTTCCAAGTGAGTGAGTTTAGTTTTACGCCACGCTCAGCAATATTCCAGCTATATGGCGGCGGTCTGTCAATAACCGAGTCTGGACCAGACAATAAAGTGATCAACACCATGAGCACCGATCTACGCAATTGGGATACCAAGACAGCGAGCCTGATCACCCGATCCCTTTCGTCGCTCGTACGACATGCATGGGTAACTGAAGATCAATTCTAACCCGGATCTTCACGAACTGTTCATAAGATTCAATTTGAGGGTTCAAGTTTTGCAGTTTCTTCTCTGTGTATTTTCACTCTGACTGCTTGATGACGTGCGAGTTCTAAGAGTAATGGCGTGTTTCTTTTTATTCATTAAAATATACAACCTGAACCACACACTAGAATGATAAGCTAAGAAATGTTGAAAGTGAAACGTAAGCCACAGCTATGAATTTGGAAAGGGTCACATTGCTTAAATAAAAAGAAGGCACATTTAGTTGATCTTCAAAATATAACTGTTTCATGACTAAATCTGAATCTAGCTTAAAGCATTTGCTCAGAACTGTCGATAATTCAGATGCCTTGTTAAATACTCACCAGGGAAAGTATTTGAAGACCGAAGATTGCATGGAAAAATTCGCGATGATATATTTGTGTTTCATCGTCTCGGTTTGCTACCTTTTTTTATGCCCGATTTTCATTTAGAAAATCTTTGGAAAATCACATTTCGTCACTTCAGAATAATTAAGAATTGCAAAAATTCAATGACAACGTTTTCATATTCATAAAGATATACGCACTTTGGAAAGGAAGTATTAGCGTTCCGCTACTTCTTTTAAGAGTATATCTTCTGAGGTCGGATTCATTTTTCCTATTCCAAATACAATACGCATGTTTTATGAATCACTACGAAACAGTGATGATACCAGGTCTTTGCAAAAGATGAGTCTTCATTACTAGTTAATCAACTATCCTATCGAACATGACAACAAGACACCAGCTCATCTTCACAAGGACAAAGAAACACAATGTTGGAATAAAGGCTTAGCCATTATTGCAAAGATTTTCTACAATCCTGAATACAGATCTGTACGTATACCGGACAAAGCAGCCACTAATTAACACAATGATTATGACTAACATGGCAAAGAGGTATCTTTGCTTACAAACCTTTCGACACAATGGTTGCCCAGCCGCTGATAACAGCTGCACTGAACGAATTTCTTTCCTCCGACAATTACATGACTAACTTGCATGTGAAGCTCCCAGTCACATATACAAACTTACACCAGAGTACTTTAAACAGTAATAGAAATGTTTTGAATTATACACACCTATCCCGAACGAAATTCCACTGAATGGCAAAAAATATGTATCTTTAAAAATTGATAATTTTAAAATTCCATAATTCGCTATATATACATACTCCCTAAAAAGTCCCCGTCATACGAGGACCCTGAGACTGATGGTACTGAGGCGGTGGACTCTAAAATAGCAGCTGTTGGCTCACGCTATGGCAGTCATGCACCTAGCCGTATATTAGGGGATGTCAATGCTAGAGCTAGGTCTGTGGGGTTAGCCTAGTGGTTGAAGCGTTCGCTAGTCACGCCGAAGACCCGGGTTCGATTCCCGAAATGGGTACAATATGTGGAGCCCATTTCTGGTGTCCCGCGGAGTGGTACTGCTGGAATATTGCTAAAAGCGGCGTAAAACTAAACTCATTCGCTCTTTGCAAATGGTCCGAGAAAAAGCGATGAGACCCAAGTAGTGAATCAAGCTTAGTTGACTATGTATTAGAAACAATTAACTGTTTTCAATCTGTAATAGATATGTTTGTTCATTCCAGAACTGACACTACTCATCTTTCAGTTTCTTGCATTCTACAAGTTAAATGAAATCCAAGTACGACTAGAGCTGTAAATGATAGTGTTGTAACATGTAATTGATGTGTTGAAATAGAAATGGGGTGAATATAACTGAAAAAGGATACGATTTGAAAGCAGTTGACAATCTGTTTTTTGTTGTTGCACAGTTCCATGAAAGAATACATAGTACTCTTTCGTGATATAGTCCTGACAAGCAAAACACTATGAACAAAGGCAAAACCGAACTTGCTGCCATGGAAACGGACAAAACATAAACTATTAATAACACAAGTAGCACAAGGCACCATTGGTCTTTCTGTGCGCACAAATTCTTTAATGAAAGAATGCCTTTTAGAGATATGGTCCGTAGAACACACCACTATGAACAATGAAGTAAAACGTGTCATGAAAACAGCGAACAAGTTTTCTTAAAATTCTTAAATAGCAAAAGGCTTCAGCCATTGGTATATATATGTTTTGATGTTTGGATGAAAGGTATCTCATGTTTATTTGGAGATGTAACATTGATTGACGACACTTTAATAGAGCCTACAAATAATACATGACGTATTAAAATACTATTGTAAGAAATTGGGCTTGGAAGTTAACCTGGAGAAGTCATGTATTATTGTTTTTGAAATGCTGGACAACTGAGAAATACATAACCTATTATGTAAACAGTATCCCACTATAAATATCTAAGAATTGTCTTCACATCTCGATATATTTGATCAAAAGCATGTGAAATATTAGCATTACAAGCTACAGATGTAGAAAAGCTTCATTTCCTATTCTTACCTTTCTGAAGGATTATCCTAATGTTTCTCTGAATTTAGCATTTCTGAATATAGGGTTACACTTATCGTACAAATATTGATAAGAAGCAGAGTTGTTGCTTTTAAAACGACGTATGCGTTATTTATTTTAGTCGCTGTAGTTGGTTGGTTTGTTGTTTAACGCCGCACTAGGCAATGATCGAGTCTGGACCAATCAATCCAGTGATCAACGGCATGAGCATCAATCTACGCAATTGGGATACGATGACATGTGTCAACCAAGTCAGCGAGTCTGACAACCCGATTCCGTTAGTCGGCTTTTACGACAAGCATGGGTTGCTGAGACCAATTCTTCAAGGGTCTTTTCTGATGATGTAGACGCCTCATGGGTTGTCTTTGGCCTCCGGAGATTTGGACCAACATGCGCTCTGTGTTGGCCTGCTCCCTGGACAGGAACGTGCTAACTTAAAAAATGTTGGGATGAGCCTTGCCGATGGGGTACGGGAATGCGGGAATGCCAATCTTCCGGGTGGTTCTTGGTTCTTGGGCCCTCGTCCTAATAGTAGTTCCGCTGCGATCTCATTCGTAACTGCACGTCTTTTTCCGTGACCTACAAGAAGATTCGTACTTGTATAGTACGCCATTATCGCCATGAATCGTGGCAAACCAATAAAATCGCGCGTAGTAAAACGCGTTTCGAAGCATGAAACTTCGAACTTAGAAACTTCGCTAAACTATGCAAAGCACAATTTAAACATAAACTTGAGCTAAAGGATCAGCAACTTTCAACACTGAAACATCTTTACGAAGGGAATGACTGTAGCTGTTTTGCCCACGAGATATGGGATATTCTAGTAGTAGCCATGTTTGGAAATTCAGAGTTATATTTCCTTTTAAATAGTACTAGACGATTTTCATCTCTGTGCCCGTTTACCAGTCGTGAACATGGCCACGAGAGGGGTACGAGTCGCCATCCGGCTTTCCGGAATAAC